GGAGGCAGCGCGTGCGGCCGGCGCCGGGCGTGGGGCGCGGAGGCGGCCGTCCCGTGACGCGCCCGGACATTTTTGTCCCGTGAGGAACTGGCGCTGGCGCGGGGGTCTCCCTTGCGCGCGGCTTGGGTCGTGTGTGGGCTCCCGGGGCGTGTCGACTGCGGGGAGGGCGGCCCCGTGAGGAGTTGGGAGTTTTTCCTGAGAGGTAATGACCGCCCAGGAGCGGTGTCGCGCGGCGGAAACCGCGGCGAGGGGTGCAGGTCTCCGGGAAGGCTCGTGACGCTTAGGGCTCGACTCGGGGCGGGTCTGCTGTGAGGGGAAGTGCCCCAAGCCCCTCGGGAGGCTTTGCAGCGCCCCCTCCCCCGCCTGAGTGCGGCGACACTTGCCGGGCGTGGAGTCCTGGTCCGGCCCCAGGCGGACTGGCTGGGCCCGGCCAGGTAGTGCCCGGGGAGGCGCCGAGCGCGGCCGGGACTGAACTTTGAGCAGCGGGGCGGCGGGGCGCAGGGGTGGACAGGGGCGGGTTCCGGATGTGGGGTGGCCGACCCCGGCACCCTGCGGCCCCTCCTCCAGCGGGCGCCCTGGGGCCTCCGAGGGTGGCTGTCTTGCTGGGTTGGGAGTTAGTGTTTCAGCGCTGCAATATGGACACTTCCTGTTCGCCGCCGCTCTCGGGCCCGTGGGTGCCTCTGCCCTTCATTCCTCTCTCCTGGGAGGGTGAGAGGTCGTGAGGGCGTGTGGGAGGTCCGCAGCCTTCTGAGTTCGCCCCACCGCCGCAGCAGGGAGTCTGGAACCCGGGAGGACGGCGGGAGTCAGGGGAAAGCGGCCCATGTGCGTGCTTCTCCAGCCTCCTGTTTTACTCAACTCTACCCCCTTGCAGAATGCCTCTGTTTCCACCGCAGCTCGCGGGAGTTGGGGTATCTTAATTCATTGGGGCACACTCTCGGGATCTTCTTGGACCTGATTTCTGCTTTAAAGTTTCTTTAAAACAGCCGCTGTACTTCGTTTTCTCCTTACAGGAAAAAGTCGTAGCGTACAAAGAAATGACACAGATTTTCTTTCTTCTACCCCAGCTCTGAGGTTGGAGGAGGAAGTCGGTTATTTATTTCCAGGATAGTTTCTGCTGTTTCTCCTGTCTTCCTTGTGATTGTGACAGCCACGTGGCCGGCTGAGTGTAATAGAGTGCCCTAGCGCCGCTAGAGCTGAGGCGTCACTGGTAGCCAGGGGCTTTGTAACCGTGCGGTAGCTTTGCATCCAGATTTATTTTGGTATTTTTTCAGATGGGGAAGTGGAAAAAGCTGAACTGTTCATGTCTATCTCTGTTCCATTCGAATTGTGAGACGTTTCCTTGCAGTCCTTGTAAGGTGTATATTGACATTTTTGCCTTCCTCTGCCGTTTTGATGGTTCATCTTTAAAATCTCAGCAGTGTTAGGTACCACTAAGGAGTGATGGAGACTAGAGTGTTACATTATGGAGTTTCCTAACTCTGGGAAAAAATCTTTTGAATTTCAGAACCATTAATGAGAGGTTCTAATGTAATCAGAAACAGTCACATTCTGGCGAATTTCTTTTTGATAGTTTTATAAAAATCTCAATTTTTTCTTTTTATATAAAAATTGTGACCTGAAAAGATATAAATATATTATCAATGAAAATACTTGTTTAGGGATGAAATAAATACTCGTTCGATTTGTATGTGTGCACTTTCTTCAGCTTTTTTTGGGAAAAGTGTTAATAGTTAACATGTATGTTAACATGAACAGATTGTATTTTAAGGTAATGAAATTTAATTTTTAGAATATATCAAAATAAAAAGTCAAAGGATTAAAGCTAAAAAAATCTAAACTTTTGGGGAGTTTGGAAATTTTTAGAATTTAAGTACATATAATCCTTCGTTACTAAATGCATCGTGTTTCCTTTTGTGAATGCTTTGATGGATTTGAATTATTTCTGTAACATTTTAATTTGAATCAGTTTTACTTGAAGAGTGCTAAATCACAGGAAACATTTAGAATGTGTAAAAGAACTGTGTAGTTATAGCAGCACCATTTATTAGAATTTTAATTACGCCATAACAGTGGTTCCCAGTCAGTGAAATTAATAGATAAAAAGATTGGAGAGGCTTCAATGTGGAAAAGATAATTCAGTTGAGAAATGAGTACGTGTGCTGACCACTGAGAGCCATGCTTAGTTGAGACAGAAAAGTAAATGAGGTGACAAAGTACTTATATAAAGCAGGAAGCACAGAAAACATATGCTGGAACGTAACTACATTATTAGTTATGGGATCCAACTATCAAAGGAAACTAAAAAAGATCATCCCAACGGGACTTAGTCTGATTCTTATGGCAGCTTATTGCTTAGCTACTCATTGTATGTGTGTGTGTTGCTTTTAGATTGTTATTTTAGTAACTGGATTTTGTGTAAATGCAAAGATCCTCCAAAATATAGTTTTGAGGACCCAATGCTTTGCTGATTTTTTAGGGAAGAAAAAGAGGTTTAAGATTTGATCCCTATTTTCAGGTTGAAGAGACAAGATTAATACACGTGAAAAAAAGTTTACAGTGTGCGAGGATATAATTAGGAGTTAAATTGTATGATGCAGGCAGGTGCTATAAGAGTTAAGAAGAGGAGAAGGAAACTAGAGGGTTTGAGTAGACAGGGGAGGCTTTTTGAAGAAAGTAAGGCTCTTGCTTTGTGAAGTCTAGCCTTCATGTTACTCCCATTAGATTAGTCTTTCTAAAGATTATATCACTCTAATGACGGGAACTCCTGGTATCAAGAATGAATACCAAATTTCTTCTCAAGACTTTGCAAACTTTGGTCCCAGTCTTCTCCATCTTATCTTCCACTAACATACGGGAACTGTTCATTATTCACCACTTTTACATGGTATAACAATTTTGCTTCTTTTTACCTTTGCTGATGTAACATTTTTCTGTTGGAAGTGCACCTGCACACATCCTCTTAACTACTGAAGATCTACTCAATCTTGAGACTTGGCTGAAATCTTGGTTGCCCTGTGAACCTTAGAGTCACAGAATTTTAGACCTGCCTTCACCTCTCCAACTGAAAATTCTTTCCTTTCTCTGATAGCATATTTCTTTTGGGCAGTAGCATTCTATACTGCCTTGTTTTCATTTAATAAATATTTTTTGAGCACCTACTGTGTGCTAAGCACTGTTATAGGAACTGAGTGAATAAGACAAATTCCTGTACTCTTTGTTAGTTATGTTTTTAGGTTTTATCGGTCCAAGCAGGTTATAAAGTCTTTGACCCTGCAGAGGAGTCTTATTTTCTCAGATATATGTTATATGCTTAGTGAGTATTTGATTGTTTTCTGAGTAAAGGAAAGGCAAGACTTATGGTATGAGGTGGAGAGATGGATGGAAAGGTCTTTCTTTACAAGTGTAGGGTACAAAAGAATAACCAATTATGGATGGCCTTGAAAAATCACTTCTGAATTTAAATATGGTTTAGTACAAAAAAAATGACATTTGAGGTTGGGAATGATATGATAAAGTCCTTATTTGAGGAAGGTTCATTTGACAGTAGTGTGCAGGACTGATTATTAACTGTGGGAATGAAGAGGAATGGGAAGGAGAGAGATCTATTTGAAGAAAAAATAAGTAACTTTGAGAAGGAGGTTTGGAAGGGGAGCATCATCAAGAAGATGGTGAGTTTAGTTAGTTGAGTGTAGGGTGAGTGGGAGATAAGTAGGTTAATATGACCTTTAGTGACTAGAGATTAGAGGTGTGAGGTAATCCATTCAATATAGATGTGACAGCTAATGTTATGAATTTTTGTCATAGAGTTAATAATTGAAGTGTTGAAGGCTAAGACTGATGCTTTGGGAAACTAGAATTCAAGGTGTATTTGCTTTGGTCATATGTGACTTCATAATTAATACTATAGACTTGTTCAATGTCTATGGTATTGTTTTATTAATAACTTTATTTCCACTGTATGAGAATGCTATCTCTATCTTACCACCAAATATAAAGAGACTAAATCATCATTTGCTTCTAGTGGATTTTCATTTGTGTATTCCTTATTCCTTTACCCTAACTTTTTTCTATTTAAATAAACTTTTGATTTTAGAATAGTTTTACATTTACAGAAAAGTTGCAAGATGGTACACAGAGTATATACCTCACCCAGTGTTCCCTATTGTTAACTTCTTACGTTACTGTGGTACATTTATCACAACTAAGGAAACAAAATTGCTATATTACTATTAAACTATGAACTTTATTCAGATTTCAGTAATTTTCCCCTAGTGTCCTTTTTCTGTTCCAGAATTCCAGTTTCTCAGACTTTTTTTGTTTTTGATGACTGACAGTTTTGACGAGTACTAGTCAAAAATTCTATGGAATGTCCCTCAGTTGAGATTTGTCTGATGTTTTCCTCCTGATTAGACTGAAGTCGGGTTTTAGGGAGGGACAAGAGGTGAAGTGCCATTCTCATCACGTGACATCGAGGGTACACACTAACAATATGATAAAATTGATGATGTTAACCTTGATCACCTGTTTGGGGTCTTTGTTCACTAGGTTTCACCCCCTCACCCTCCTGTACTCTCTTCTTTGGAAACGAGTTGTTAAGCACAGCCCACGCTCAACATCTTAACCTAATTTTGATTCACGTATTTTTTATTTCCCTCACCCTAATTTTCTTTTCCTTAAATAAACATTTAAACTTAGATATTGATCGAGCATCTACTGTATTTAAGCACTAAGAATATTGTGGTGAGCAAGAGACATTATTCCTACTCCTCTGGAGTCTGCCTGATATAAACGTAAAGTAGAATTTATCCCCTCACCTACATAGGTCTTGAGTTCACTGACAGTTATAAACACAGTATTACTATAAGGCCTAAAAGGCTAAATAAAGCTCTTCACTTAAGTAGTCATTTAGAAGATACGCTGTTATCATAAAGGTTAAATATACGTACCATAAAAATAACCTTTTTGCTACCAACACAGATAATGGAAAATTACTTTGATTCTCCCCAAGTAGATATGTATTACTGTTAAATCACCATGATAGTTAATTACCATTAATTATCTTCATATTTTATAAAATTTGCAGGTTGTGTAAGAAAATTCTTGGCTTCTTGATTGTATTTTCAAAGGTATTGGATACTTTTGACACTTAGAAGCTTTTTTTTCTGAGAAGTGGTTTGAAAGGTGTGTTGAGGAAAGCATTGGGAAAAGAACAGAGACCCTGAGCTCTCTCCTTTATGAGAGGCAATGATTATTTATGGAAAGGAAAATGAGGTTGAGGGAAATAAAGAACATTAAAGTTTTGAAAGTGATAAACTTTTGAAGGGAAGTCACTTTATACTTAATAGAAGAGTAGAAAAGTGATGTCATTCTAACATTGGGAATGTTATTGGGAATATTAATAAAACTACATGAATTTTATTGGAGAATAAAGTTTGATAAACTAAAGACTTGAATGAGAATTTCAATTTTTTTCTAGTTAACTGGGTTAACTACAAAGCACTCTTAATTTTGAACACTTTCTAAAATGCGTTAATACATTTACACCTTTCACACTTTTATCGTACAACCCACTGAGCATAATATAACATTTAAATTAGAATTT